GAGTTCAATCTTTGATACCAAAAAAAAGAATTTTTTATTTAGAGACAGGTTCTTGCTAAGTTGTTTAGGGCCTCATTACTGAAGCTGGCTTTGAACTCCCAATCCTCCTGTCTCAGCCTCCCAAACCCTTTGGGATTATAGGCATGTGTCACTCTGTCCAGCTTTTGTGTCCTCTTGAAGGTTGCACTGTGTTCCACTCACCTTTTTTTTTTTGAGAGAGAGAATTTTTTTTTTTTAATATTTTTTAGTTTTTCAGCAGACGTAACATCTTTGTTTGTATGTGGTGCTGAGGATCGAAACTGGGCTGCACACAAGCCAGGCGAACGTGCTACTGCTTGAGCCATATCCCCAGCCCCTCTACTCACCTTTAAAGCCCCAAGAGTCCAGGTGGGAGTTTGGTGCTTAAACAGCTGACTATTGAGTACCTACCATGCCAGCTCCCTGCAGGAAGCCCTGTGCAGTCTCCTGCAGTCCTCCCTGCTCCTTGAGTGACAAAATGATACAGTTGTCCCATTTTTCAGTGAGGAGGGGAGGCTCTGAGATGAGGGAGCTCTTCAGAGCCAGGCCTGGGGTAATCAGCCTTGTCCTGCCTAGCAGGGCCCTCTTTGACAACCCTGGGGCCCTTAGGAGTGGGATGTGGGACTGCTGACTGCTGTTCCTCCCTAGCTGGCAGAGAGCTGGTGAGCAAGGAGGGCTTCCGCCGGGCACGGCACGTGGTCGGTGAGATCCGGCGCACAGCCCAGGCAGCAGCTGCCTTGAGCCGCGGGGACTACAGAGCCTTTGGCCGCCTCATGGTGGAGAGTCACTACTCACTCAGGTGAGGCCCTAGGGCAGCCTGCATCTCTTGGGCACAGGTGGGTCCCAGGCTGACCTCTTCTATATCGTCTGCAGGGATGACTATGAGGTGAGCTGCTCTGAGCTGGACCAACTGGTTGAGGCTGCACTGTCTGTGCCTGGGGTTTATGGCAGTCGCATGACAGGTGGTGGCTTTGGTGGCTGCACAGTGACACTGCTGGAGGCCTCTGCTGCTTCCCGCACCATGCAGCACATACAGGTTGGTAAGCACCAGAGCCTTGGAGGGCAGGAGAGGTGGATTCCCAGGGTTCCCCCATCGCTCAGACTGCTCATCTCTCCCCCAGGAGCAGTACAGTGGTACTGCCACCTTCTACCTCTCCCAGGCTGCTGATGGAGCCAAGGTGTTGTGCCTGTGAGGCACCTCTGGACAGCATATGCAAGCATGGGCCGAGGTGGCAGGTCATGCAGCTCTGTGTCTGGCCCCACCTTCCTCATTTGGGTGCTTAATAAACATGCCTCTGACTGTGGTACCCTCCTGCTTCTAGAGGTGGGTATGTGCTTAGGGGTCAGAGAAGGGGAGGTTGTCAGAATCACTGCTCTGTCCGGCTGGCACTTTTGGGGCTCCTGAGGAACAGATAGGACAGAGTCAAGCAGTAGCAAAATTTTTTATTTAGTGCAGAACAAAGGCTGGGTCCTTGTCCTGGTCCCAGCTCTTTGGTTACAAATAAGTTTGGGCCAGCATGGGGCAGGGACAGCCAAAGGGCCTTCTGAGACCTCTGCCCCCTTCATGCTTCCTACAGGATACCTGGCCCCTGTTCTATGGCAAGAGGTGCTGGCTCTTGTCATCTTCAGCATGAAGATGGTCAGCATGAAGGTGGGGCTGGGCCCCAGGGTGGGGTCCAAGGATGGAGTAGCTGAGGGAGTGCTGGGGAGAGGAGGCAGGGAGGGGGCCCAGGTTCCAGAACACTGGTGAGGTTGGTGAATCATGTTTGGAAAAACTGTTGGTCCACCTGGGCGTTGAGGGTTCCACTGGTAGTCAGTGTCCGGCTCACAAATTCCTGGGTCACGTGCCGGGTGAGAGAGCCACTTGTCTCTAGATGCTGGGACCCCAGGGTCAGTCCATCTGTGGGAGAAGAAGTTTGAAGGATGCTGCGTGGTCCCTGCCCTTCCATGTTGGCTATGGATCCCCACCTCCTGGTGGTAACTCACCCATTAGGAAGGGCTCAGTGGTGCTGGTGTGGGTGGTGGTGATGCTGCTGTACTCGCCTTGCAGTGGGTGCTGGAAGAGCCCGGAATGGGTGCCCAGCTGTGGAAAGGGACCTGGAGAGGGGAGATTGGCCTGTTAGGGGATGGCAGGGGAAGGCGTGACCAGAGAAGAGTTGGGGTAAAGAAGAGATGCCCCACCTCCATCCTGGGACTCAATGGTGATGATGCCTTCACGCTCTGGCCCGAAGCCCTCGGTAGTCCTGGCCTGCACCTTGAACTTGTAGGGCACGTTCTCACTGAGGCCAGGCACGGTCAGCCGGCTCTCAGGGTTGTCTCCATCCACCCGGAATGTAGTGGCTGGCCCTGCATGGGAGGATGTCTTCAGTTCCTGTGGTCCTTTCTCCACTACTCCACAGCCACCCCTAGCCTCAGGGTGGGCAGTACCTCCTCCTTGGGCCATCTCACAGGTCACCAGATAGCCGAGGATGTCACCATTGGGCCTCCGTGGCCGCTCCCAGCTCAGCTGCAGTGAATCGGGGCTCAGGGCAGTGAACACCAATGGGCCTGGGGCACTGGGGGTGCTCAGAGTGAAGGCAGATCCTGGAGGCAGCAGAGAGAATGTCAGTGGGTGGGAGTATGGTGGGCAAGGTGGCAGCTGTGGGGGACCACTCACCTGGCAGGGGGCAGAGTGGGCTCTGCGGGTGCACCTGTGATTCAATGGTGATGACACCCTCACGCTCTCGGCCCCAGCCCTCCTGGCTCTGGGCCCGCACACGGAACACATAGGAGTGGTTGGGCAGGAGGTCTTCCACCACCACAGAAGTTTGGCCAGGGTTGGGGATGTTGAGCCTGTGTAGCTCGCCTGGAGGTTGGGTGAGGGCAGACAGCAGAGCAGCTTTACCCCACCCCTGTCCTGATCCCCAATTCCCTAAGCTGCCATCAACATCTGGTCAGCATTGACCCAGGGCTGCCTGTGGGGGGTACAGTGTGATAAGATTGGTTGTTAAGGTTGTGCACTATACAAGAGATGAGTGGAGCCTGCAGTCCCGCCCATCCTAACCCCTTGTCAGGGATCTAGGTCGTTCCACTGCCTAGTTCCCACAGAGGTTACACAGACCAGGGAAGGCCTTGGTCCGTGAGGCCTTGTTAGGGGAAACCTAGCAGAGGAAATAGGCAGAGAGGCGCAGGGAGATGGATGAGACCTCAGGTGAGGGAACGAAGGGGAATGGAGTGAGACCCTCAAGAAGACTGGAGGTGGGCTTATGCACAAAGCCTTGGGTAGGTTCCTGCCCCCACTGGGGTGCTGAGCATGGGCCCAGGCCTGGAAGGTCCCCACCCCTGCAGGCAGCAGTAGCCCGGCCTCACCGCCATTCAGCAGCTGGTACTCCACACTGTAGCCCAGCAGCAGGCGCTCACACTGAGGCTCCTGCCAGCTCACTTTCAGAGACGTGGGTCCCAGGGCGGAGAACACAAGGCGGGTGGGTGTGTCAGGCACACCCATGGCACCTCGAGAATCTGGAGACAGGACATCACAGTCAGGGGAAGGAGCTGGGATCTTCCTGCTGTCACAATTCTACCCCCTCAGGTAGCCAGGCAGCTTGTACCCAGAACCTTCCACAAGTCCTTGGATTAGTTACAGACCCTGCCTATGATGAAAGAGGGTCAGCCCTCTGAGTCTGCCACCTCCCACCTTGCTCCCTGCTTAGCTGGCAGGGCCCCTTCTCCTTGACCCACCCCAGCCCACACCCTGGCAGGACAGAGGCCATGTTAGGCATCAGCGCTGATGAGTGTGGGGCAGGGGTTAGCTCCTCTGGGAGGGCAGGGTCCTGTGAATGGAATGAGGCCAAGGTGGTGGGTGGGCACAGGCAGCGGCTGTGATGGATGGCAGATGGAGCAGGACAGCCACAGAGACAGGATGGCCAGCCTGGAACTACCTGGGCCCCAGAAGGGTGCTGCTGGCTGCCCAGCCAGGATTATAGAATCTCGGGAGCCCCTGGAGGGGGGGAGCCCCTTCATCTGAGCCCGACTCCAGGACCCCAGGGCCCAGGACAGCGGAAGCCTGCTCCTCCCGTCTTCCCAGATGGGAGGGAGGCCTAGGGCAGGACAAAACAAGGAGTGTGAGGGACAGGATGTGGAGGGTGGGCAGTGGGGGCCAGCGGCCCAATCCTCCAGAAGCTGGAATGGAGGTGATGAACGGGTAAGGCAGGATTGGTTGAGGTTGCTCACCCTGGGAGGAGAGGGAGGTGAGGGTGGAGTAGTCTCTGGGCAGTGTGGACGACTGTGAGTGCTGTGTGCGGGTCAGCGAGTGGTAGTCCCGAGTGAGGGTGGAGGAGGTGCTCAACACACGGTGGGGCAGATGTGGGCTCAGGTGGGTGCCATAGGTGGCATTGGCCGCTGTCATCCTGTGCAGGGAGTTGGCACTGCCTGGGAAGGCAAAGTCCATTCGACCATTCACCAGGTGCTCTGCAGGAGGAGAGAGGGTCGGTCAGTCAGACCTGCACCAGACCTGGAGGCCTAAGGGGCAAGATGTGGCCCTGAGAATTCCTGGGGTTCCCTTCCCTCTGGGGAGCCTGGGAATAAAATACCACCAATCTCCCCCAAACTACCATGTTAGGGCCCCTATGTCCCCAGAGGAGTCCAGAAAGCCACATGTCCTCTAGCTCTGTGCTATGGATTATCAGAGCACAGCCAACCCAGCTTGGGACCTGCCTGGCCTTCCAGGAGAGCCCAAAGCCTGTCTGTCCTCAAATCCTGGAGGTCCCTGAGGGTCTTCCCCTGACACAAGTTTCTGAAGCTGGCTGTCCCAGTTGGGGTAGGCATCATGAGAATCACTTCCTGTCCTGCCTCCGGGGGCGCCCAAATGCCTGCCCTGGGCATCCCTTGGCTACCCGGTGCTGTGTGCACACAGTTGCAGGCCCCTGGCCTGGCCTGGCATCTTGATGAGCAGCCTGGCCGAAGCTGGGGCCCTGGGGCAGCAAGTGGCGGCCCCAGGTCCCAGCCGGCTTGCGCAAACGAGCCGGCACAGGCCGTGCGCAGCCCAGGAAGGTGGTCACCTCCGGGGGGCCGGGGCGTCGCGCTGCGGGCCCGGCTGCTGCCCTCCCCGGCCGCGCTCCCCGCGCCGCCGTCGTCAGAAGAGCGCCCGCTGCTGGCCGACAGGCGCGGGATGAGCTCCGGGGGCAGCCGCCACGTGACGTGCCGCAGGTCCAGCTCCTCCCCCAGCAGGGGCTCGAACTTCCAGCCGCCGCCTTGGGAACAACGAAGGGCCGCGTTGGCACCGCCGGGGGCGCCGGGGTTGGTGGCGCCAAGGAGGACCGAGCCAGGCCAGCGGCAGAGCCCGGCGTCAGGATTGGGTGTCCCCGTGCTGCAGCGATGGGAAAGCCCGGCGACAGGAGAAACCCTTGTCCTGATTCCGAATAGGGTTGTGTAGTTTTGGCCACAGCTCGGGAAGAAAGACCCGGTACCAGCCACAGACCTTGTGGATGGAGCCTGGGCCCTGTCACCCGCTGTGAGGTTTCTCTTGTTGCTTAAATGCCCTGAGCTTCAGTTTCCGGACTGTGCAAAGAAGAGTAGTCTTTCCCCTGCCAGCCTCCCAGGGACAGTTCCAGAAGCCCCAGGACACTAATAGTAGACCCTCAAAACCATACTCCCTAGAAGATCCCATCCTGGCATTGTATGATTGACATTCCATTTTATAGATCAGACAACAGGCACAGGGCAGGTGTGTGTCCCACAGTGGAGCCAAAGCTAAAGCTGCACCCAGGAGTCCCTGCTAAGGGCTCTTTTTGCAATATACTGTGCCAGGAGTCAAGCAGGAGAACTGAGCCTGCTGTGGCATCTCTGCCTCATCAGCTGGCCCCACCCCTGTGAAGTGGCTGCTCAGGGCTCCTGGTCTGTGCCTGCCTCCTCTCACTTAGGCCTGCCTCTGGGAGGAATGATAACTCCACTGCGTAGCAGGTTAACCTTCGGATCACAAAGCAGTATTTCCAGTGCATAATCCACATGTACGTGCCCAGGCCTGTGTGCATCTGCCCCCAGCAGACATCCATGTGTTCTCACACATGGTAGTGCACATGATTGCAGTGGGCCACAATAGCTGTGTCCTCTCCATATCCCCAGTGCCAAATCATGGGCTCTGTGGATATATATCTGAGGCTGAGAAGTGACTTCTAGTGTTGACCTCCATGCCCAATAGTTGCTGGCCACTTCACTCTCTCTGGACACCAGGGACAGCCCTACCCCATGCCCATCACCCCCACTGTCTTTCATGGATCCCACTCACCCGTGTCATCAGAGACGCTGGGCCTCTGACTGCCTGCTGGGGAGC